GGGGCATTGTTGGGCGTGTGCCAGGAGGTAGAGCCAGTCAATGTTAAAGCAAGGAATACAACTGTAAAGAAAGGACATACACTTCAAGAATATTTGACTGACCTCTATAAAAAGAGCATAGTCCATTTGTCATCATCACAGGTAAAAGAACTTTTGGCAAATTAAGCTGACGTCTTTTCGAAAGGAGATCATGACCTCGGCTGCATAAACCTGGTAGATCACAAAATAAACACAGGCAATCACCATCCAATAAAGATTACAACTGCTGTAATCTCTCTTCTTGTTTATTTTGCTGTTTGAGCTGCCACTGCTGCAAGTTTTCTTGCAACTGCTGTAATCTCTCTTCTTGTTTATTTTCTTTTTCCTCCAACAACTGTTGTATTCTCTCTTCTTGTTTCTTTTCTCGTTCTTCTTGTTTCTTTTCCTTTTCCTCCAACAACTGCTGCAATTTCTCTTGTTTATTTTGCTGTTCGAGCTGCCACTGTTGCAGGTTTTCTTGCAACTGCTGTTGTCTCTCTTCTTGTTTCTTTTCTTGTTCTTCTTGTTTCTTTTGCTGCCCTTGTATTGCTGCCATCAAGTCTGCTAGGCTGTAGTTTGATTTGCCGCTTCTTGTTTCCATTTTTTTTTTATCCCACTCTCCGACACCAATGTGTTACATCTCCGTTCATTAGATAATTTTCCGTAAATTCATTCCGACGAAACTTTAGCAACACAAGTCCTTTCTTAATAAAACTGGTTTATTCTTTCTGAATATAACTTTGCAATACACTTAATTTCAACAGTCATGCTAAAATTCTCAACGAACGTTTCACGTGCTTGACTTCAACAATACTCAGTTCAATTACACACACACGCCTTTTCGCCGTCGCTCTTAGCCGGTCTTATATATACAAGACTACGCTATATCTAGAAAGATCACGAGATTTAAGGAAAAACGTGAATGTTCGAGAACGACGTGGCATGATACTAGTCACGTGACCTCGCTGATGCAACAATATTATATTGTATATGTATATATATTATTGTATCTATATATTATATTGTATATGTATATATATATTACTGTATCTATATATTATATTGTATATGTGTATATATTATTGTATCTGTATATTATATTGTAGTATATATTTCTTGATCTTTATCAAACTAATTCAATGGACACAGGGGGATCAAAGTGTGCATGTCACAACCTTATAGTTACATTCAAAATTTAATTAAACTAATTTATTATCACTGTAATTTAATAAACTTGACATCAAATAATAGTTTGATATTTTACAATTATATACATTTTCATTTCTTAATTTCAAAAGAAAATATTGAAATAAATTCTCAATCTGCACCTCTGAGTCACATGACATGGGACATCTGACTTCTTATTTATATATCTTTTTGTCTTCACCAACATAGATTTCAGATTGTCCAACTAATTACAAATGCATAATACAGATATTGACAAACCAAAATCTGAAGTTTCAATGTACAAAAAGTATGCACCCAATTACTAAAAGTACGTACCCAATTACAAAAAGTATACACCCAACTACAAAAGGCCTCAAGGCAAAAGTAAGTGCTAGATTTCTTTGTTTTGATGTATATATTTTATTTTTGTTAAAAATTAACTAAACTGTAAACGTTAGAAACTTGTCCAATTAGAAACGAAATAATAACCTTTTTCCTAAAGGATACACTTGGGTTGCTATCATGTGATGTAACTCGGTTGGTTGGTTGTTAGGTGCTTTATGGCACAAAGCAGTGAGGCTATCTGCACCAAACAACCGGTAAAAACAATGAAAGTAAATTAAAGTAAAATGTAAAAATACAGCGAGTTAAAACCAATACATGTCGATAAAATATTTATATATAATTAAAAAAGACCTATAGTGTGTAAAAAAATTAAAAATACAATCTAAGTGGACAGTGTCACCATTACCAATGACACTGTCCAGCGTCAGGGGTAAACTTTTAGAAAACGTGTCTAAAATGGTGGCGCCGCTCACGGATGGCACGACAGTAAAATGTGGGCTATTGTGACTTGAGTGTCACAATGGCTACACATCGGTGGATCAGTTCCTGATAAAAGAAAACGATGGGTTAAAAACTATGACCAATGCGTAGCCTTGCCAGGACTACTTGATCCTTCCGATCCTTACAGAAGCAAGATGGCCAAAGACCAACAGAATGTTTGATCTGGAAAAGCTTGTTATGGCGTTGCTCACCCCAAGTCGACTGCCAACTGGCACGAAGCCGTGCCTTGAAGACAGGACTGTAGTCCATGTATGGGCACAGCCGTGATAGCACCAAATCAGACAGACTTAGCTGCGGTGTTAGCGAGCTCATTCCAGCGAATACCGACGTGGCCAGGGATCCAGAAAAAGTGGATGGAAATAGAAGATAGAAAAAAGTAGGCCAATCAGTGTTGAATATCGACGAGAACAGGATGAGAACTAACGTTAAGCGATTCCAGGGCCAGTAGAGAGCTAAGAGAATCAGTGTAAGTAGTACAATTACTATACTGCATAGCTTCTACATGATCCAGGGCAAGAGAAATAGCATACAACTTGGCAGTGAACACAGAAACTGTAAAGGGGATCCTGTGAGCAACTACCGAGCCACAGCAAACCATGACAGAAACAGTTCACTAAGGGGAAGAAATACCTCTGAAGACAAATGGGTGAAGAAAGGGAGTCAGAAAAAATAAGTACACAAAAGAAGGAAGGGGTACAGTAAAGAGGAATGTAGCTCAAACCCAACAAGTCCAGACAGCAGGGAAACGAGTTACAATAGAGAGCAGAGCAGAAGAAGTGGAAGAGAAGAGAACAAATATGTACAGAAACCATCAGAAACATTAAGAACTTCCTCAGATAAAAGATGGAGTTAGGAGAGTGAATACAGAAGGATAGAGTAAAAGATGGAAAACAGGGAACTACAAAGTGAAATAGAAGGCAAAGGGCCTGAGCCCCAAGTAGGTCACAAAGATACCACTGTCAGGGAAGAAAGTCGACAAATCTGGCCAAAAGTAGTCATGAACATGCATGAGACGGGGCATCTGGGAGTGAGAAGAAGGAAACAGTATAAATCTTAACAACAGAAAATGAGAAAAAAACAAGATAAATCCAAGAAATGTGGGACAGAAAGTAAGAAAATGAAAAATAAAGAACACAGACAAAAGAAATGGAAAGAAACATACCTAAGAATGAAATCCAGAAAAAGGTAATTTCCCAATTGGTAAATTACTACCCAAAGCAAATGAAGGGAAGTTCATACTCTAATAAATCATTTCAGACTGAGAAGAAAGAAATTTGGCCAACAAGATGGGAGTAGCATTCCCATTAAGCATATGTTGAACAATGGCTGCAACAACCCTGACAGTTAACAAGCCTCCAAAATTGATAGCAGAAATAATGCCTTTGTGTGAACAAAGTCCCACACTCAGGACCAAATATAGATCACCATCATTTGAGAGTTTGTGATAAAAATTTAATCAGAGCTTAGTTAATGATGCAAGTCTCAATAAATTGAACAGAGACAAAAAATTGCTAAGGAGAAGAATGAAATTTCACAAGTGCAAATATATATATATATGGGGAGTTAGTGTGCATGGAGACATGTTGCCCTCCTATTGGTTGAGGGCTTTGTTGCCTGATCAAGTCATCATGCAGTGTCACACTTCATGTAAAATCACACGTAATTACGTAAAAAGTTGCCCCAAGGATATTGGCATGCAAATCTTTTTGGCAGATATGTGAGAAAGACAGCTAAACTGTGTGAATAGGTGAGTTATCATCTAGAAAGTATAAAGTTTTACAAAAAAAAATGTTCTTTTTTTTTTTATATTTGTTTAGAGGTTCTAAAGGTTATGCAAATGAAATATGAAAACTGTAAACTGAAAAAGTATTAGAACAAAAATCACTTTTACTCAAACTGACTTAGTAAACACTTTGCAAATTATAGAAGAAAAAGTACTTTATTAAAAAATCCAATTTTTGTGTGCAACATACTTGTAATGTTTACTAAAAGGTTGTCAAATCTTGTGAAGATACACTTAGTACATTCAAAATTATAGTATCTATCATTTCATGGTTATATGGTGGCTATATGATCAGTCAAATTACATTTGCCTGTATACATAGAGATAAAGCATAGATGTGCCAGTTATGTTACATGTACATATATATACCTTGATCTTTTCCAAATTAACTACATGTGTTTGAAAATATAATGGGTTTCTACAAACTAATTACACATGTATTTCAAATTACAGATGTGTAAGATACCATATTTATTGGGTTTTTCTACACTAACTATATGTTTGAAAATACATAATAGTAAGATGCTTTTTTTCTACACTCACCTTCAGCTTCTCGGGCAAAACGAATGGACTCAACTGTCTGCTCCATCACTCCGTCATCAGCAGCCACAACCAGCACAACAATGTCTGTCACATGTGCTCCACGAGCCCGCATAGCAAAGAATGCAGCGTGACCCGGTGTGTCTAGAAATGTTATACTCTCACCACTGGGAAGTTTGACTAGAAACAGAAACCATAACATCTGTAGTTGACACAGAGAACAAAAAAACATAAATAGTCAACCTCAACCATTATATGTATTTGTTTTACTATATGGGCAACACTACAAATTAAAACAGCTAAAAAAAAGTAACAAATATAGACTAAAATAATCTGGTTAGTGCAGCAGCATAAACCATCAACCAGAACTATGGTACAGCAAGCAAAAGATAATGTTTAACCTTCATGATAACATGAAAATATTTCCACCAATTATATGTTAATAACAATTTTATCTTACCTGAGAAAGCTCCTATGTGCTGAGTAATTCCTCCAAACTCTTCTTTAACAACTGAGGTATGTCGAAGAGAGTCCAGCAAGGTGGTTTTCCCATGGTCAATATGCCCCATAATTGTTACAACTGGAGGACGCTTCACTAGCTGGCTTGGGTCAGGTGGTGGTCTGCAAAGTCAAACTTTATAATTCAATGATAAAACTACTCTAATCAATCGTCTGTTGTTACTGTTAGTGTTTTTCTTCTGTATCTAATAAATTCTATGCTAATCCTTTACATTCCATGATCAAAACTTGTCAGAGAACAAGAGATAAAGACGTTCCAAGTCAAGGAAGTTTCTGATGGAAATCTCTTTTTTTGCCACTGATACTTCAGTAAAACAGAATAACTTGAGCAGATAAACAACTATATAAAGTATTCTATTAACATTAAGATTCATTTCTCAGATAGGAACAAAAAAGTTTAAAACAAAGGAGGACTGGTTACCATCACTGAAACTACACCATTTATTAAAACTACTTCAGTCAGTTCAAAGTTACACTGTGACGGAATCCAATCACTGAAACTACACCATTTATTAAAACTACTTCAGCCAGTTCAAAGTTACACTGTGACGGAATCCAATCACTGAAACTACAACGTTTATTAAAACTACTTCAGCCAGTTCAAAGTTACACTGTGACGGAATCCAATCATTGAAAGTACAATGTTCATTAAAACTACTTCAGCCAGTTCAAAGTTACACTGTGACAGAATTGAATCATTGAAACTACAATGTTCATTAAAACTACTTCAGCCAGTTCAAATTTACACTGTGACAGAATTGAATCATTGAAACTACAATGTTCATTAAAACTACTTCTGCAAGTTCAAATTTACACTGCAACAAAATTATACACCCATCTCAATTTACTTCACACTTAAAAAACATTTAAAGGTTTGAATTATTTTAATTACAATATAACTGAGAGCACTACTTGATCGTAAAGTTTCTCACAGTCTGTATTAAATAAAAAATGATTCAAGAAACATCTACATTTTTAAATACTTTAACTTGTATCAATTCTACAACTGTTTAAATACCCTTACTTAAGGTTCTAATAGATTACTTCATAAGTTAAGTGATCTGGAAATACGTCTTACCGACGAACAGCATCCTTGTAGGGTTTCTCTTTATGATGATCTGCAACAGGAGGAGCCACTATCTGACATCGATAACCCAACTTTCTGGCAATGTTATGGGTTAATCCAATATCATCAATTTCTGTATACAAAAATAAAAAATAGCAAACCAATATTTCTAAATATAAATATACAAAACTGTGTTAATACACAATGACACAATTTCTTAATCTCTACAAAAAAAAACAAAACTTCTAACACATTATGACGCCCTTAGAAAGAGGACTGAAATGTCAAGTTTTAATAATTATTTTTATGACTTACTTGTATCACTCTGACGAATAAGACATGTACTAAGTTGAAGGCTATGACGATAATCATGAAAAACTTCTACTGCTAACGGTTTAGGTACAGTGTTCAGTTTTCAGTATGGTCCAAAATGAATGCACAATTATTTATGTGTTTACTACTAATGCATAACCCAAACTCTAACTATAGCTTTCTTTGCCTGGTAATTATAAAGAAACATGATATTGTTGTGTATTTGCTTTTAACAACCTTCACACCACACGCTATAAATCACAGTGACTCACATACTTTACTTATGGTGCCTACTGTTCGCTTGACTCAATTATTTCTATCTTCAATCCCACTGGTTTTTCTCACCAGGCTTATATACTAAAAAAAGAGGGCACCTAGTTTAGACTAGAGTTACCTGGCTAATTCATGATCCTTCGAGAAACCCCAGGGTACATGTTTCCAGTATCACGTGACTTCCGCAATTGTAACACTGCCCCTTCCTTAGTATTGTTCGTCCCGAACAATAGCCACTTACATTACACCAATGTACAGAATTTACAAACACAAAATTAAAATTCAACAAAGTCTCTTAATTTTATTGGATACATTTTCTTCCATACTGGTCTCCGTCTCATTGGTTTCTGCTTCATGTGAGGTTCATCTGCTCCATTCAGGAAATGTCCTGTTATCGGTAACAGTCACATCAGTGGTAGTTACTTCATTAACGGCTCACTGTTTCCCTTCTCAAAACTGGGTAGAGTTTCTTCTTCAACAGTGGCTTTTCCAGGTGACATGTCTTCAGCAGCGTCATTTGTTCTGTTTTCCACTTCGTTCCAATTGATATGTCATGGACCGTAATAACGCCAAAGCCTGTTCACATGCATCACCTTTGGCTTACCTTGCCGACCACATATTATTCG